CGACCTATCCAAAGTTGGTACGATATATTGTGCTTCCCCATATATAAAGCCTGTTTTCTTCAACCTTAATGTGTGACTTCTGATTTCAAACTACCCTCACCCCATTGTATGTCATATTCGACTACTTCCACACTACTCACCTCACCTTTTTCCACTTTGTGTCTGTCCCTTTTAAATCTTTGAAACTCTCTTCTGTTCCCCCTCTCTCTCTCGACTTGTTTCACTTTGATGTTCCTCCTCCTCTGTGAAGCCTGAAGTCAACTAAAGGGCTAATGATAACCATCAAACGCCTGCCATTTGATATAAATATAAATATTAAGCGTCAAATTTGTGTTAGTTAAATAAGAATTCCAGATTTTATGAATATCTAAAAATGAGAGTGCTGACTTGATTGAAACGGTGGGGTAAACAAAGCTACCATGGCTAAACAAAGTAGTCACACATGACTTAGACTGTTCCGAGAGTACCTGTGCTACTTGTCAGGTAGGTAGGAAATGATTCGTGTGCACAGAGACCTCTCAGCCTACCACAAATCAATTGTGAATGCGTTGTTTAACGAATCTTTGAAGGGGCTTTTATTGACTCAGCTTTGTGAGGGTGACACACAAGCGTCTTAAAGGTTATTATCGAAATAAATTCTCGTCCATCAACATTGTTTAGAGAACTAACTTCATAGAGGGAATTTTTCCATAGGAGTTATTGAGGTTTGGTCGATGAAAATTGAAATAGCACCTTCCACATATCCTTGAAATATGCTTTTTATGTTAAATATTAATTTACCATAGATTTCACACAAGGATTTCATAAATATACATAAAATGTACCGTTAACTTACAGTGCACACGTAATATCAGAATAATAATCATACCGATTTAAACGAAAATAAGCCGAGACTAAACCTAAGCTATCTCTTCGTCAAAATTACTTTGTAAGAAGTTGTTCCCAAAATTAATCAAGCTACCTCAACAACATTGACGAAACAGAGTGTATAGACAAAACAGCGCTTATTCTAGCCGTATCCACTGTACTCCTCTTTGTCGTTAGAACTCGAATTTGCTGTGAGTACCATGCAGTGACTGTTGATTGGCGGTTGGCTGAGCGACTTCTGTGCTCTCGATGAATTTACTTCCAACTGGGTCGCACTTTTCAAGCTGCTCGAGCACACATTTTTGAGGATTAAATAATATACGACAAACGACTAATGAATGGTTCTTTTATGTATAAAAAGTGCCATCTTTTAGGTGGTACGCTATATTTTCCTATGGATTTATCGTCACAGTGTTCGCATTATGGTATAATATATATCGAAATGTATACCTTGCTATTTTACAACACTCTGCCCATTATTATGCTTTAAAAGATTTTGCGTCATTCTAAGGTATTTTCTAAAATATTCTACTCTGACTGTGAACAGATTCTCTCAAAATATTTACCTATCTCAGCGAAGTTTATTGGTCCATCTTCTTAATATTTCCAAATTTTGGTTTTCCATCATTAGCTCCACACTCTTCCCTCCCTCTCTTCCTCCCAATATTTCTATATGCTCTTCTATAAACATTTCCAAAACGTTTAATTAATTATGCTTACCGCCTCCAGATGATTTACTCTTATTTTGAATGCATTTCTATGAGAATTTGCTTTAAAAAATGCTTGATTCGTATGGGACCGGCCCATCTATTCGAATTTGGTTTAACAGAAAGTACAGATTGCTGAGCAACCTACTTTATTTCCCCCGAAATTCAACAGTTCCAGTTTGACTGTCAAAATCATTGAAATGAAGGAGTCGTCGTTTTTGAGATATTTCTTTAAGAAACTGCCAAGGAAAACATGCTGACGGTTTACAACAAAATCTGGGAGACCAGTCTCGTACCTAACCAATGGAAAGTTGCCATAGTAATACCAGTACTAAAAAAGGGCAAAGACCCTAGCAAATTTGACAACTATAGGCCTATCTCCCTCACAAGCGTACTGGCTAAACTTATGGAAAGAATGGTTAACAGGAGGCTGACCTGGTTCCTTGAAACCAACGATATTCTTAGGAGTGAACAGGCAGGTTTTAGGCCACAAAGATCAACTAAAGAACAGGTAGCCACTTTCTCCCAACACAGCAAAGATGCCCTTGATGCAAGAAATACCCTTACGGCTGTTTTCGTCGATTTCAAATCAGCATATGACTTAGTATGGAAAGAGAACCTAATTCTAAAATTGGCAAAGATTGGTATTAAGCATAGCATGCTAAATTGGATAAAAGCATTCATTGGACAAAGATCATTTAAGGTCAGACATGGAAATGCACTATCAAAAACCAATCTTTTACAAACAGGCCTTCCACAGGGCGCTGTCACAAGCTACACTCTTTTCAATGTCTTCATCAATGACATAGCCGAATTGGTACAGTCAGTCACGGGCATAGAGTGCTTAATTTATGCAGATGATCTTGTTCTGTGGTATTCCGCCCCTAAGAAAAACGCTCAAAAGAGGACAGAAAGTGCCCTAAATGGTGCACTTAAACTACTAGCAAACTGGTGCGACAACAATGGAATGGTAATCAACACTGCAAAAACTGCATTCCAACCTTTTTCTTTGGCCCATCACAGCATAAACCCGATTCTAAGGTACAAGGATATTACCATAGAAAAAACCAATGAGTTCACATATCTCGGAATGACTTTTGACACAAAACTAACGTGGAAAAGTCACATTGCCAAAATAGCAGAACGAGTCTCCAATAGACTGAATGTACTGAAGCGTCTTGTTGGTAGCGTATGGGGCTGTGCACGCAAGATGTTTATTCAGCCAATAATGTTGTATTGCTGTGAGCCACTCATTACAGCCACAGAGGTGACTCTCAAACCCCTCGACTAATTACTGGAGGGATAAAATCAACACCCATTGATGCAATGCTCTAGTTACAGGAAGCACCACAANTTAGAGAGAAAAACAAAACTGTGGTCCTAAATTGGATTCCTGGTCATTGTGGCATTAAAGGCAATGAGCTTGCTGACACACTTGCTAAGAAGGGGACAACGATTTTCCATTGCATGGACTGGCCGATGTCTTTCCACACAATGAAGGCCTTAATCAGGAGAGAATTCCAGACCTCAAGGTGCAACGAAATTAAAGCTCGAACAAAGGAGAAACAGTGGACAGTGGCACTCTCCGACATACCCGACTGGCCAAGAATCGAAGCCGTTGCTGAGTTTAGACTACATACCGAACACGATTGCTTGGCAAAACGCCTTCAGAGATTGGGAGTATACACTCAACCCACGTGCCCTCTATGTAACCTACAGGAGGAAATGTAGAAGACCCACCTGATTCGGTGCCCAGCCCTAAAGACAAGGACGGAAAGCCAAAGATACTGGGAAGCAAGAAGACAGCTAATGAATTGCTATTAAATAATTGCTATAAATGTACCCCCCCCCCCTCGTGGGGGGAAGCTGAAGTCAAAGTTTAAGGGCTAATGATAAATATCATAAAGCCTGCCATTTGAAATAATAATAATAATAATAATAATCTTTAAGAAACTTCAAACGAGTGTGACGAGTTATTTTGTGAACACTTGGAGAGTGCGATAGACTTACCTCCACGTGGTGCACCCTGGACAACGTATACTCACACGGCAAAAAGTCTATTAACCGGCAGTTGACTTCTGACTTCAAACTACCATGGCCCGACTGCTTGTCATATTCAATCCCTTCAGCAGCACTCATCTTGCCTTTTTCTCTACCTTTGTGTCTGTCTGTCTCTCTTACATCTGTGAATCGCTCTTCTGTTCCCCAACCCTCGACTTTCTGCTACTTTGATGAACCTTCCCTCTGTAAAGCCCGAAGTCAGCTTAATGGCTAATGATAGCTATCAAAACGCCTGCCATTTGAAATAAATAAACTTTGTGAATACTATTTTGTAATATTAGGTCATACCGTAATAAAGCTATGTCTTTTTTCTGCTCACTATATATCACTACACACTTACTTCAAGCCTGGAAGACACACATGAAGTCACTCCTAAGGCACTTCAATGACCAAATGGGGAATTATTTTTCGGGTTTTGGAGCGAAACACACCCTGTACGCCATTTCATTGATAAGTATAATAGACGTACTTTTGGTGTGGGCTCGAGAATACAAAGCAGTACAACAAAATAGCAGATCCAGTCAAGATGGCCCGTACAATATTTTTACGGAAATGATTTTAAGGACGAAATTATGAAAGGCGGTTAAGTATTTCAATAACGATAATCCCTCATTGCACTTTAGAATGGGCAAGAGCTGGCTAATCCACGCCAGTGGACACAACTTTATCTTCATAAACACTAAACAGAAAAGAACTCTGAATCTAGTCATTTCAAAAAATTTAGACTGATAAATGGTTCAGAGCTTTTTACTGACCCTAACTTCATAACCAAAGCCAGCCAGCAAACAGCCCTTTTCTTCTGAACATCGTCTAAATAAAATTCCGCGAATACCATTTTTTGACTCGTCCTTTATCAGTCCCATAAGATTCACTGACTTCGCATTTTGAATTTCAGATGCGAATATTGCACAATTGTCAATAGTAATTTTCCGATTTGCTAATGACTCAATCAATACATAAATAAATTACAAAATGTGGTAATATTAATTAGAATGAGGTGGATATATATGTGCTTGGGGGGGGAGGGGGGAGGGGGGAGGTTATGATATATAATATAAGAGTTTAACTAAAATTTTGATTCTAAATGAGGAAGTAATGAGAGGTAATAATGGCAACATATAAACAGAATAACATTAAAATGAGTAAGAAATGTCCGTTAAGAGCCAATGACAATAGTTAATGTTTAATTGAAAAGTTTGATGGGGGAAATGAGATGATGTGATATGGCATGTACAGACACTGGTAGACCATGGCGTTTTGTCTTCGGTTTGTTTTACTTCTGCGCTGATCGCATGTAGCCTCGAAGAGGGTTTCTGACAGTCTTTTTATTGTCTGTTGACATTGGTGGACTAAATTCTGTCACTCTCCGTGCCCTTCTCTTCGACTTATCAGAATCCACTCGAATCTAGTAAAGTATCAAGTATAACTAATTCATTTATCTGAAGCGTCAACGGAGATGTGTAAGTATTATTTTACGGCATAAATAGTACTCAATAGATTAAAACAATTCAAAATAATTCACGTGTTAGAACACAATCTCAGAAAAATAATATAGTGTTTAATAAATCATAAATAAATTATTAATATCATTTATTGACTAACCCCCATTTTCTCGGCTTGTTCGGTGAACACCGACATACATTCCAGAAGACACGTGAAGCATTCATTCTTAAAAAAAGGAAGATGAGATTTTTACTTTCCTTTTTTGATAATACCTTATTAATTGTTGTTTAATAATACTTAGGATTTACAGTTACTATATCAACTTTGGGTTTGATTTTTTAATATAAAATTTTCAATCATATCTACCACTAACATTATTATTGATATTTAAAAACTATTCGATAAGTTCTACACATCATGAAGCCTAATTACCTTTTGAAAGCTTAAAGTTTAACTGTGGAAGAGCCATGTGAAGGTGAGATAGGGTTTGACGAATCTAGAATCCAGGCTCATTCGAAGAAAATGAACTTTAAGTGTTGGCTGTCCTGTTTAAACTTTATCACTGATTCATATCAGTGTCTTGAATTTTAAATGTCTTTACGTTACCATATAAGATAATATTTTTTTATTAATGCCACAATTTTCGCGACTGGTTATAGAGGTTGACAAGGAATTCCTGTTTGCTCAAATGAAACAGAATTAAAATAGCTTCGTAGAGATTAGGTGTATTATGCAGAACCTGTTCCTTATTGATATCTAATTATTGGAAACGCACAAATGAGTGGGGCCTCTAATTTTCCGAGGGTATGATCATTAGGCAGGAGAAATTGTTATGGTACTTGTCGCTATCACACTCAAAACTATTTGAATCAACGTTTTAAAATAACTGAAAAGGTTTGGAATTGATAAGTGTAGACACTGCGCATTGGTGGTTTTGTTTATCCAACTCACAGAAATGGAGGTCTCTTTGAATCGCTATTGAGTGCAAATTAATAGAGAAGCTAATGGAAAGGGGGGATTTTATTGATAAAATCGATACGTATTATAATGTTTGGCATAGAGAAAGTGTGCTTATCAAGCAATTACTTTTATTGCAAATGTTAAAATACTCCGTTACTACCCATAATCAAATATATATTGTAAATTTTATTTTTAATAATATTTATCGAATAAATGATAGTTTCAAAAGTAGGGTCTAATTTACCTAATTTTGTAGTTAAGTGTCCTCTAACTCGAAACATTGAACCACAATCAGTTGAATTAGCCTAAGCAATCTTGTTTATGCAAAAAGATGCATCCAATAATAACATTTTCTGAAAAATGGGCTATTTACAGATGGATTCTTATTTTTTTATAGCGAATGAAGATTGTTATGCAATTTATAATACCCACTGTAATCATCATTTATTCTAATGAACGACGCCTCACATAACTATAACCTTATTGGTCCTCGTGATATTTCCGAATTGATTAGAGGAGGAGGACGAACACCCAGTCTAGACGCTCCACCACTTTGGACCACCCACGTGTTCATTTCAACAGCTGTGGTGGCGGACCCGAAATACGCGCTCTGCCCCATCTCCCTAAACCTTTAATACCTTTGCCCAGCCCCTCCTCCATCGCCCCCCCCTTCCCCCCCCCCCACCCCCGAATTCTGTTTGTGTCGGAAATTTCGAGCCAAACAATCTACTGACTCCTCCTCCTCCTCCTCTCCTTCAACCAACTGACTTTGTGAAAATACAACTGCATTGGCAGCTTCTTTGATGCATGCAGGTATTTCCCTACTTGCCTAATTTTCCATTTATTCACATTTAACTAGCTCTCTTTCTGCTTAATTAACAACAATTTTCATTTAAATTTTACTCTTTACAAATTTTAGCATGTGAATCTGGGGAGGTATAACCAACCAGCATTACAAACCGATGTAACTGCTGTTATATAATGTCTTCTACCATTGAACTAACGGAATACTCTGAGTAAATGGAAGTAATATTCAGTGTAAGGACTCAACTCAAAAGCTCACGAGACTAGGCTCTACGGAACCGGGCAAAGCAATTAAGATTTTAAAAGCGAGAGAGACTTCGTTTGCATCCTGACATTAAGAACAATTTTCCTGTGGAACTATTACAACTCCATTGGTTTGAGTGAGAAAATTGAATCTCAATATTCAATTGCCTTCATTATTGCAAGTACTAAAGGATCATTTTCTTCTGACCAAAACAATAACAAATTACTTAATGTCTAAGCAACTGTACCACAAACATTTAAACAATTCTTATCAACCTAATTTTGAAGACTTATTTATTAGTAAAACGTTCATAATTTTCAATCTGATTTACCTTGTTGGCTAAGTAGGCATAAAGACTATGGTTGCATTTTCCAGCACAATCCCGACGACATTCAGCAAAGACTTTGAATTTCGCTAAAAATTGAAAAAAAGGATTAAGTATTGCACAAATTTCATCCATTCTTGACAAGATGCTGAAATAAATTATGTCTTGCAATGTCCTGAAGATATGAAGCAAAAATTATTAAATAACATTTATTAATAATGCAGCTTCCCAACAATCTTATCACTAGATTTTCTTGTTTATATTCATGTAGTGATATTCAACTTGTATTAACTGGCAATTCTTCTACGTCTCCTAGTTAGAGAGTCGATTTGGGCTCGTGTAAAATAAAACCATAAAAACTCAAAATTTTTGATAAAACTTGAAAATTATTTTTAATTATTTTTTATGAAAAGAATGAAATCTGCATGAATCACGATCTTCGCAGTTTTCGAGTGGATGCATGTATATGAGTAATCATTTGCTCTAGATAAAAACTGAGTCGAAGAAAAAACCAGTTCACACGTTTTCACTTCTTTTCTGTCGCTCTCCCTCCCCCGCCCTTCCTCCACTTCTCTTAGACAGAAAATTTAAACTAGTTGCAACGCATTTTTAACACAAAATTTTATATACAATTAAAATTGAAATAAGTTATTTTATCTCAATTCTGGAGAGAATATTAAAATTGTAAGAAAAAAGATGTAGAATAATGGCAAAATTAATAATGCTTACACTCACTAGAGTGACGCCTTGGCATCTTGTAGACCATGAGGGCTTGATCAGATTGGTAACCTTGTGGAGCCACCATGAAGGCTGATGCAGTGTTGGATGCAATAAGAAGCAATCCAAAAAGAATGCAGGTTGCATATAACATAAGTACTCGAACTCTCATAGGTGTCGATTTCGTATAAACGTCCGCACATTTTGTCCACCTTGGGCTTTTATAGCAGCGTTCAACACTTGAATGTTATGTTCAACCAATGAGAATACACCATAGATGGCACACGCACGCGTGTTGAAATTGCATCAAACCGTTGCGGTTTTGACATTTGGCAAGTTTCCGTTATGATAATGAAAAGTAATAGTAATTATAATATCAATAATATTTCAATATCAATCAAACAAATGAAGTTTTTCGAGCACTTCGATAACTTGTATGTTCAGTAAGATTTTGAAGATCATTCAAAAAAATTGCATTTAAAATGGCACTAAAGCATTGTGGTTCTATTCATTCGCTTATTAACATAACGCAATAAGAGATTGATATTTAGCCACCGAAATCTTGAGCATGCTCTACCTTTTCATCATATTATAGTTTAAATAGAGTATAATTATATCTTTTGATTTACCTTATAATGGCATATTCACCAAATTGTTGCATATGGTAATTTTTCTTAGGTATTTATCAGCACCGATGTTAAATCCTCTTTGTAAAAAAGGCATTGGGTCTTGTGTACCATTTTGGGTAATATTAACGTAAACCCAGGACACTCCACTCTGCTGCAAACTGTTGGATATCATATAGAAATTGCTATTCTACAAATGGAATCGATAAGTTACCACAGCACGCTCTTGGTGTTATTATGAGTGTATGTTGAGAATGAAAGTAAGCGAACTCCCAAGTGAACAATAATCACCGAGGTAATATCACGGCATTAGATAAGAAATTTATAAAACCCGTTATATAATTACTATTCTTTATCCTCAAGGCATCGACTTCGAGCTGAGGTCAAGGATGTACTTTCTAAGCTTTTGAATTGTTAATAAGTAGAAAAGTATTCTTTGTAAATATGTATAATCTGCATCAAGATAATTAAATAATTCTAGCATCTTTTGATTATCAACATTTTTCTCGATTTCCAATCGATCTTCTCTTCTTGATTCCATGACATCTTTACCTTTTTGTGATGCTCAGATTTATTCATACATTTTTACATTTTTGTTTTGCAGTGGGTAGTAATAATAATAATTTCATCATCTAAAGCTGAAATTCTTATGATTATACCTATACTTTTTATTCACTATACACTGGTGTAAGTTAATGTTATTTACCACGAAAATATTAAGTGACTTATTTAGCTATTCGGACTTTTAGAAAATCAAATTACCAGTCAAATGAATATCCCATTAATTTTCCTTCCTTATTACCCATTTTTTATTCTGGTATAAAAATCATGTTTATTGACAAATTGACTTTTCTCAAACATGTATTTAGATGTCAGACTTTACGCTAGCAATATTTTTGTACTTATTGTATGAGCCTTTGGTACGCTTTTTTATTCATTATACTTCCAACTCGGGGGGNGGGGGGGGGGGGGGGGGTGTGCGATAGACTTATCTCCATGTATTACACCCTGGACAAAGTATACTCATCCGGCAAAAAAGTCTGTAAATCAACAGTTGATTTCAAACTACCATGGCCTGACTGTATGTCATATTCCACCAATTCCACAAAACTCACCTTACATTTTTCCTCTACCTTTGTGTCTGTCTCTTTTACATCCGCGAATCACTCTTCTGTTCTCCACCCCCCCCCCCCCCNACTACTCGACTTTTTGTGGCTTCGATGTTCTCCCCTCCCTCCCTCCCTCCTCTGTGGAGCCCAAAATCAACTAAAAGACTAATGGTAAATATAATAAAACCTACCACTTGATATAAATAAGTATTTCCTTCAGTAGATTCGTTCCTTTGCCATTACATCCATCACAACCTTAAAATGCGAATGCAAATAAATTGATAATTTTGACAGTAAATCAATTAGCAATGCATATAACGAAATGTGAATAAAGCCAGTGGCTAACAGAGATCTTTGCAAGATTGATTCGGTGAGAAGAAGCAACGTGAAAACAAGACCTAAAAGCTATATTAAAATTCTTAGCCATGGTCAAGAACACGCGCATTAAATAAAAACTATTTGAAAATTAATCTTAAAAGCATAAGTAGCATATGGTGTCTAATGTTTGCGATGATGGCGTCTAGGATTAAAATTCCCCCAAACCGAATGCTAGAGGTTGTCTATCGATGCCCACCCAGTGGGAACAATGGTTAAGTCAAGTCTAACTAAGAAAGTAGGCTACAGAACTCGAGGTTCCCACCAGGAGGCTCCATGGTGGCAACCTTCGTCCTTCCCCCCCC